AACAAGATCGACGGAAAAAAACAAACCAAAGGAAAACTATTTCCAGTGATAAATTATTTGCAGCAAACGATTGTAATTTGATAATTAATTGTTTTGCTTTGACTATTCAATCTTGTGTACAATAAACAGTGTGATCCACTTAACAGGAAAGGTTCTATTTATTTAGCAAAAAACCGAAGTGAATATCATATACAGTTTGTTTGGCAATGATCAATAGCAGTTAAGGAACATCTGTAGGTTTGATTTTCGTTGATTGAGTTTATTGCATCAACTTTCTGCTGCTTGATTGCCAGCTTTCTCTATTTTTTTTTCTTGAAATGTTTTCCGTCGATTTTGTTTTCACCTGGACCCTACCTATCGACCAATCAACTCATGAACCGGAGACCGACGGCTTTACTTCCCTTCTTCTTTTTTTTCCTTATTGTTTCCTTTTTTTCTTCCTTTTTAGCTTCCTCTATTCCATGGCCCACATTTTCTCCTGCAGCTCCATTTTGCACTTCATGTGTTCCTTCTTATCCGCTCGCATAGATTCAAGGCATTTGAATACCTTCGATTCCATGTTCCGGATTCCTGTCTCCGAATAATGTTGGCCTCTACAGAGTTGTCTTCCAGTTGCAGTATCTGCTGTTGCTCGTGAACGTGCACTTATTGTCAGGCATGGAAAATCATTTGCATTCATTTCGTGCATTCATTTACATTCATTAGTCCCTAACTTTTTTCATCAACAGAATTCCGCAAAATGATGTATGGAGCTTTTGTAGGTTTTGTTAACATTTCAAATCCGTATCTCTTATGCATGACGAACCAGAGCAAACAGAAGCCACTACTGTTTTTCAGTGAATGTATTTTACATTCACTAAAAAACAGTAACAAGTTCTGCCCGCTCTAATTCGTAATGCATAAGAGATACATATTTGAGTTATGAACAAAAGCTGTAGCTAATAACAAAACCTAGTAAAGCTCTATAAATCATTTTGCGGAATGCTGTTGATGAAAAAATAGAGGCAAATGAATGTAAATGAATGTATGAAATGAATGCAAATGATTTTATATGCCTGCTTATTGCCTGAATTACAGGAGGAACTGGTGCTGGATCGTCATTCGTCAGTGCGGAGCATGACGTTATGTCAGCTAGTTCAAATGAAGGTATTCCGCTACCACTAGCTTGAACGTTCTAGAACCCTTTTTCTAGGAATTCGCTGATGACGCTATCCTGGGCATCATCATCGGCGTTTACATTAACTGGAAGAGTCTAATAAAAATCACACTTAGTAAAAAAGCACATAGGCAAATAATAACAAATATCGTCTTACCGGTTCATTGAAACCACCACCGCCGTCGCCGTCAAGAGTATCCTTCTGTATGACAACGATATTTTCAAGTTCTGAGAGAAAGTCTCTTTTCTTTTTTAATAGTTCATTCTCCCCACTCTGGTGATTCAGAATAGTCAACCACTTCGTTTTAGTTTTTTGCTTGAGGTCTCGCCACGAAAACTCCCACTGCTCCGGTGTCATAGTAGCATCTTCAAGAGCATTCAACGTTTTCCATTTTAGTTTTTGGAGCTCTTTCCCCCCGAATCGATTGAAATCTGTTGTTCGCGAAGTCCAAATCATCCACAATGTAATTTACCATGTAATTGTTTTGTTCCATCATCATGTATTTTTTGAGTCTGCAATTAACGATAACACAACTGCTAAATTGAATGCATACGTTGTTGTTGTTTGTGCCATGTTCAATCATTTGTTTTGCTTATTTGCGATTTTTCTTTGGTTTTACGCGGCTTATTTTCAATCGAAGTAAGCTGCATTCGTTGAAGCACAAACACTTGTTTACAAGCGTGAACTTTTCTGGCATTACTTTACAAAAGGTCCTAATGACTGCGCGAATCCGTTAATCGATTTTCTCATTTTAGGTTTTCAGTGGATTTAAAAAAATATAAGATAGTTTTGTCAACTCAGATTGTAATGTTGATTTCATAAATAGACTAAAACGTCGATCAAACTAACTCGAAAGAACGCTTAATCCCTAAAAATTGGAAACCAATATAAAACGGTTCTCTTACAGATAATAGGCTGATTTGTAAAATCATTCTGGAAAAACTATCATAGACATCTAGCGGAAAACAATTGAAATTTGTATTCTCTCTTTCTCTTTGCGCTTCCGAAATTTGGCGAAAAGCAACGTTTTTTTTTAAGAGAAAACATGCAAAACATATTTTCTCAAAATTTATTAAGTGGAACTAAATTTGAGCATTCCACTAACAACAAAAATTTCGTTACTTCAATATGATGGCTGCCAAGCCTTTGGCATGCGCTGCCAAACAGTATTAACAACAATCAATACGAAACTAACGATTTTAAATTGGCTCACTACTTGACTAGCCTATTGGTCCCAAGCAAATCGACTAACGTACCCCATTCTAGTTGAAATTCTACTACTACCCTATGTTTGTTTTGATTCGCTATGAAAGTTTGACAGATAAAATGAGGGGTTAGTAGATTTTCGTATGTTTCGAGGGGTGAATCGATTAGCTTGGGACCGAAGATAGTACCAGAGCTGAGCCAAAAAGTTGAGCTCGTTTCTTCGGGACCTTCTGGTCTTAGAGTTACCTCTATGGTATTAAGGTGAATCGCTGTGACATACTTATTCTCGGAACCACTTCGAAAATTTATAAAGGTGCACAAATAGCAGCTTTTACGATAGGTGTAACATTCAAATTGATACTCCACGTTTGCTGCACTGCAGCATACATTAAGCAGCAATTTCAGGTGAAATGGGGCATCGATTTTCGAGATTTGTGTAATTGAAAATTCGAAGTGGAAGTGCATGTATAGCCTACGTGGCGGCCATTTGTGGACTCTACAAGGAATAACCTTAAACGTAAAGCTCAATCGTATCTTTTCGATTGTTTGTATTCGTTCGTTACTTTGTGAATGGTTAAAGGGAAGCAAAATGAGCCAATTGTTGGTGAAAAAAGTTTAAAAGTTATTTTAATATATTTGTAAAAATTTATTTTCACTACATCCCACTATTCATAGCATGATTTGAGATAAGCTTGAACATTTTTAATATTGATGGACTGCAATACTTATATTCGTTTTGTCACACATATCGTGTCGATTTTCTCTCACTGTTCATTAGTTCGATTTGACAGCTCAAAATGGGTTTGATTTTGGGTTCCGCGTTTGCATCACCCAGCTTATACCCTAACACGTCCCGTTTTTTGGTACCACTCTTTTAAGGAATTTTGTAAAATGGCTGTACTGTCTATAATCCCATATCAATCCCATATGGAAAAAGTAAGCATTGAGAAAATGGCAGTTGAATTTACGAAGTGCAATTTCCATGTAAATATTTGAAAAATGATTGTAAATTAATTGATTTTTTTTTTTCAAGATTAAACCACTTACATCAAACTTACTTGTTTTGTTATATCAGCGAAAATATGACAATCCAAAGAGCAGAACTCTAACTTGATCCCTGGAAGATTGAATTTGAGGATGGAACTGATATGCGATTACTTTGCTTAAGGTTCAATTTACTTTGATGCTTTTTGGAAAATTTCAAAAGCAGTTTTTTCCGACGCATTATTTCAGATTGCAAAAAACTTGCACTATTCGATTCCTTTTGATAGTTTACACAAAATGACGCGAGCTTTTTGCAATCTAAAATAATGCATCGAAAAAAACTGCTTTTAATTTTTTTTAAAATGCATCAAAGTAAATTGAACCTTAATGGAGATGCCAATTGATAGTGGATAATGTTGCTATCTTAAAATTGACGAAAATCCAAATGGAACTGATATGCGATTACAGGCTGTGTACTTTGTGGATAGTATTTATGCACGATCAAATCTACGTATCAAAATAAAATAAAACTGTTGGGCGGTAGCAGAAAATTTTTCATCGGGTTGCATTTATCATCAAAGGTACGGCAGCGGAAAGTAATTCAGACACGAACGCTAAACGTGTTGATTCCCAGTTTTATGGTGGTGGTGAATTGGAAGCGACACAACTCGAGCAACCCATTTAAGGTCCCACAGAGTAAAATTAGTCGCACACGACGAAAGCCGTCCCATTAGGAAGGAGCCGCTTGATTACAGGTGGTTCTCCAGATGGTCGGATAAGCCTTGGGCGAATAAATAGTCACGTAGGTCATGAAGCGATATGCAAATGAGACTGATTTTAATATTCCGTTTGCTTCGTTGCCATCATTGTCGCTTGCCTGCACAGCGAAAGCAAACTTGTGATTGTACAAGATAAGAATCGTTCACTGACAGACGAATGATCAGTTTCAGCTGGAAATGTTTACATAAACTCCGCACAATTATCCAATGTTTGGCGAAGTGATTTATCTCTTTACCGAAGAATCCACGATTCGAATTCTACACTGCGGAAAATGTAACCGCCTAGCATGTTGAACAGAAATCATTCAACGGTGTCGTTGCTGGTGGAATCCTCGTTTTCTGGAAAACGAAACCATTCCATAAAACATTCTGCGGATAATCCGTCTTTTTCTAGCATCGAAATGCAATTTAAATTGAAAGCAAATAGCTCTTTGCTCTCTGTTTGTGGTGTACCGGCGAAAGGTATCTTTCCTACAAAGAAGCTTTGCTCAATTTGTTCCAATTTCCCCCATTTATTGTCATTTTGATTGTAGCAAGTTTCCTTTGATGCAGGAACCGGAGAACTATCAATCTCACTATTCCATTATGGAAAAGGGTTCCTTTATCTGGGATCGGGAACGATGGATCAGGAGTCTTCGCCTTTGTGATTCAGGAAATGCAAACTGACTGAATCTGTTGCGAATCCGAAGCTTTACAAAATTGTAGTTGTTGTCTGGTTTTAAGTTTGTATGTCGTGCTCTTGATTTCAAGCGTAGATTCCGTTCATGTTGAGGTGTTTATTCAACTTGCAATATGTCCAATCAACAAATAGATCTATCAAACAAAACAGTCTGATTCAACAGACAGATGTCACATTCGATAGGGAAAGCTTCACTGGAACTCATCAACTAGTTGTGGAAATCTATCAGTATCACAGCTTCCGACAAATCGCCAACATGTGCTCGATAGCACTCTGCCTAGCGTTCCTTTTGGTCCAAACAATTTTCATCATGCATTGCAGACCACATAAAACAGCTGAAATCATGAAGGATGGCAGAGTGTCTGTAAAACCGGAAATAAATGTTGAAGAAGTTTTGAAAAAGTTTTCCGTCAAATTCTACAAGGTAGGTGAAATGATTATCAACGTTCCTTCTGCATGAGTGGCACTCTCAATCCTTAACAGAAACGCTTCGTGGAAGATCAAAATCTAGTTGTCGCTCCACTGTTGATCTTCAAAGTGTTCAGATCACTTTACGGCATAATGGACGCATCGGCCAAGTACGATCTTCACTCACTAGCTGACATTCCCCATAATGCCAGCATGGAAAAGATGCAGGAATTCGAGACATTCACGGATCACTCGCTGAAAGTGTGCATCACTAAGCAGTCTCAAGTAGTGGCTCGCCTGTACTACGGCAAATCCATCGGTCAAATTAACTCGGCCCTAAAGACTATTGAAACTGTAACGACGAACTTTGACGAGAAACAGGGGTTCCTTAAACAGGTCAACGATTGGATTAAAAATCCTCAAATCCGAGGAACGGATGATTTAGTCCATGATTACGATGTGAACAAGAAAACGGAAGCGTTTTTGGCTGGAGCATTTTCATTCGATTGGCCATCGCAGCTAAAGCTCGCAAACGGGGAGAAAACATTTCAAGGGGAAAAAGTACAGTTTTTAGAGGGAAACATTCGTACTTCATACGCCAAACTGGACCATCCCAAGGTTGAAGTAGTAGAGCTGAAACGTGATGAACTACCCGGAATCAAGCTTTGGCTGATTCTTCCCGACAAAGCATCATCCATCAAGGAATTTAATGACAAGTTGAATGTCGACATAATTAGTCAAATCGAAAGTGGTTTGGCCAAACAGATAGCGGATGTTGCCCTGATCCTTCCGAGGGTGTCGATTGAGTACAATTCCCAAGAAGATGCATACGTCATGGAAGTGTTTGAAGTGTTTAGCTCTCTGTTTACGACACCTTCAATCAAACTGGCCGAGGGCAAGGAGGATTTGTATCCCGTCAAGAATTTCCTGATGAAATGTATACTGCGGCTTAATGCGAGTGAGACTACAATCGAAACCAAAGGTAGGTATCAATGTTTATTGAACTTGACAGTACGTAGTGACGCAATGTGTGATATGTTTCAGCACAAGGTGGCGCGAAAAATTTGGCATTTGACCGACCTTTTGTACTGATGATGCTGACAAACAATGGTAGTGTTCCGCTTATGTTGGCTAATTACTTTTCGCCAAAGGATAAACTACGAGAGCTGGAGGAGCAGGAACGGAAGTTGAAGGCTTTGGCACAGCAGCATATCGATTTGTAATATGCCATTCGGAATGAACGGGATTTGATAGGTTGACAGAAAAGACATTAGATAATAAATCTCTTTACGGGATAGGATTCTGTTTCGAGGTCCTTTATTTGATTCTGGGGTGTCGGGTTCTCAGTAGAACGGTGGATCAATAGTCGACTTTTTTACCTTTGGAATTGAGGAAAGCTAAAAATTTATTAGATTATGTATTATTAAAATATGTAACATTGCGACACTAACATGATTTTTAACAACAACAAAAATCACATTAAGATGTACTGTCTTTCGTTCAGCTCTAGAAGCTGTGTGATTTATTTAAAATCAGGAAATATCAGGGAATTCATTTTTCATTGAATTTCATTCAAATTCAGGGAAATCTTTCTTCAAAAACCTTTTAATAAGTATGATTGATTTCGCTAGTTTTGAACAATAACTCGGTGAAGTATGAAGATGGTTGATCATTTCAAATTTTAAAAAGAACTGAGCAAAAATTACTTAAATAAAAGGACATTTCTATGATCTTGGGTCTAACATACCGTATGCGTGATAATGTTTGCACCATTGAGCAATGTCAAAATTAAAAAAAAAATCTCAAAAATGTCGATTTCGAGTTTTTTTTTTATACAAAGGGGGGGGGGATGTTTTTCAGAGTCTTAAACTATGTTAATCATCGATCGAGTTTCCACTTGCTGCAATAACGGCCTCCACATGCTTCCGGAATGCACGGCAGGTTCTAATAATGTAGTCTGGATCCATTTCTCTACAGGTACGGGTCAATGTTTCTCTGAGGCTTACTGTACTCGGGTGGCGTTTAGAACCGCCATATTGAGTAATCCAGCGGATTAAGATCGGGTCTGGATGGCGGCCACATATCCTTCGCTCAGAACGGAAGATGTTCCTGCAATCACTTCTGAGTGTGGTTCGAGGTGTGGCCTCATCTTGTTGAAATACAACATTTGGCTTCGGACCGTACTGTTCTTTGATCCACGGAAGAACATACTTACTTAAAATCCCGATGTAGACCTCCGTGTTGACCTTGTCGCCTTCTGGAATGAACGCGAGGTCCATTTTTTTTTGCCATCGGAAGCCACCAATCCAAAAACCATAACGCTAGCAGGATGCTTGGTCAGATACACGTTCTTGTGCTCGTCGGCCACGTCTTTTACCGGAAGAGAACTAATATACCGGTCGGCTCTGGAATTTGATACGGGATCGACGGTACACATGCTCTCGTTGCTGAACAGGATTACCGGATTTTTTCGCTTAAGGAACTTCAAGATGCGGTTGGTAATCATGTGAGTTTTGTTTTTCCATGCCCTCGACTTCACCCCGCAATCTTTCTTTACGATTTTCCGTGCCGTAAAGTCACTGATCCCATGTTCCTTTGCCATTTTCCTTATTGAACGCACTGGATTCACCCGAATCTTCCTTTTGATAGCAGCGATAACCCTCGGAACCCGAACTGACCTCGGACGACCTGTGGCCACCTTCGCGGATAGTTGTCCTTTCTTTTCTCGGTCCAAAACCCTTTTGACAGTCCACCGGGACACTCTCACGGCGATTGAAATGTCTTTTTGCGACATTTGCGCGTGGGACAAATCACGAAAACGCTGCCACTTCGTCATGGTGCAACTGTCAAACTAAGTAAATCATTTTCTTTTATACACAGCCTACTACGGTATGGAATTATATGCACAGGTGAAACGGGAACCTTATTTGTACGATGGTGCAAACATTATCACGCATACGGTAAATTCAGCTCCCACTGGGTGTTGGAACATTCCTGAGTTCAATTGAGATCCGCTAGACGGTGGTAGTTGTTGCAAAATTTAATCTTGAAATGAGTATGTGCGTCTTTTAATGTATGTTGCGCTTAGTTGCGTCTGACAAAATTTAACCTTTGAGTAGATTGGTGTATCTGTTCATTCTAGCTGTGTTCAACAAAAATCAATCCTTTGGGTACATTTGAGCACCTGTCAGTAAATGCACCAATGGCAATGAATTAAAAAAGAGAACGATGTTTCTTCCGAATACTGTACTTGTTTGCTACCTGGGCTAAAAGTGCAGCCCAGTTAGCGAATTCCACTCACTAATTTGGCTGGCTTGTCAAACGTCAAAAAAAACACTGAGGTGAACTTCGATGGCTTGTTTGATCGACTTTAAAAAAAAAATTCCACGTTTATTGAGTTGAAACAGTGTAAAGTTTCTTAATGCACTTGTGATTTAAATAGGCTTAATGCTTTCGCTAAATCGCTTTCAAGTCTTGATTTCAGTGTGAAATGAAAATAATTACAAATTTAATACAGCCGAGGAAGGTTCACCTCTCGCAAACAACTTTACTTCGACGTCACGGTACTCCTTCATCGTGCACGGTAAACAAACAACAAATGACAGCAAGTCGACACCGTCCGCGTCGGTTAGCCTATACACGCTATTTCAAAACTACCCAAATTTGGGTAAAATCCACCCAGATCTGTCAAAACTGAAACTACCCAAATATGGGTAAACTGTATTGGAAGTGACAAGTTGACAAATGAACAACATCGACATGAATCCGATCGACGTTGTTAATTTGTCAACTTGTCACTCTCAACATAGTTTACCCATTTTTGGGTAGGTTCTGTTTTGACAGATCTGGGTGGATTCTATCCAAATTTGGGTAGTTTTGAAATAGCGTGTAGACCTTTTTGACGTTTAATCGTCTTTCTCTTTCTAGCACACATGGATGAATGCATGGTTTGTTTTCCCACTTATCTGTTTCCCTCTTGCTCGCACTCGTTCGATTTAAATGGGCATTAGTGTACGCCGATTAAACGTCAAAAAGCTCTATATATGAGACTAAAGCTGACACTCATACCAATACACTGGAACCTCCATTTAAGAACCAAACCGGGGGTTCGTAAATCGAATTAGTTCGTAAAAAAAACCTCGTTATTTGGGATTTACTTCCTAAAAAGAATACTCGTTATTTGGGATTTACTTCGTAAAAAGAGGTTTTTGAAAATATTGTCAAATACCCCACAATATTGGTATTTTTGGAATCGGGGAGACTTTTAAGGACCAGAAATCGATGTTTGACGCCATTGTGAAATCCAAGATGGCGGTATCCGGTTCATGAAAAACTGTAAAATACTGTCAATATCCCCACAATATTGGTATTTTTGGAATAGGAGTGACATGTAGGAACCGGAAATCCATGCCTGACGCTATTATGAAATCCAATATGACGGTATCCGGTTCATGAAAAACTGGAAAATACTGTCAATACTCCACAATATGGGTATTTTTTGTGAATCAGGGTGATGTGTAGGAACTGGAAATCTATGTCGGATGACATTTTGAAATCCAAGATGGCGGCCTGCGGTTCATGAACAACAGGAAAATACTGTCAATACTCCACAATGTGGGTATTTCTGGAATCAGAGTGACGTGTAGGAACTGGAAATCTATGTCTGACGCCATTTTGAAATCCAAGATTCCGAAAATACCCATATTGTGGGGTATTTGACATTATTTTCCAGGTTTTCTGTACCCGGATCAGGGCCCCACAAAGTCACTTTCAATCGAAAATCTTCAAGTGACGATCAAGCTCTAAACCATCACTTTCAATTGAAAGTCATTATGTCTTCTCTTCGAGCGTATCCCCGTCAACATCAACAGAAACACTTTCGATCGGTTTTCATGCTGTTTGTTTTGGCTTGACTCGTGTTCATTTCTTCTTTCATTGCCAAATGAACTTACTTTTGCATTGAAGCGAAGCTGTTTGATCCAAATTCGCGCAGTTTTTATTACTTTTGTTGATTGTTCACTCGGTTCATTTAAGCGTGTGCGCATTGATCTGTACACATGGTTGTAAAATTTATCATTGTTGGGTGGTTTGTTTACCATCAATATGGGTACTTTTTGAATCTGGGTGACATCTAGAGATCGAAAATTGATATGCGACGCCATTTTTAAATCCAAGATGGCGGCTTCCAGTTTAAGAAAAAGTTAGAAATGCTGTCAAATACTTATCAATAAAGGTATTTTAGTAATCGGGATAATGTCTAGAGGATGAAAATCGATATCCGACGCCATTTTGAAATCGATTTACGAAAAAGTGGATATACAGTCATATACTCATCAATATTGATATTTTTGTAACCGGTATGAAGTCTACAGATCGGAAATTGGTATGCGACGCCAATTCGAGATCCAAGATGGCGGCTTCCGATTCCAGAACAAGTGGGAAATATTATCAAATACCCTTCAATATAGGTATTTTTAGGAATCGCGATGCTGTCTAGAAGCCGGAAATCGATATCCGACGCCATTTTGAAATCCAACATGACGGCTTCCTATTTCAGAAAAAATGGGCAATGCTGATGCCGTCCCATCAATATGGGAATTTTTGGAATCGGGGTGACGTCTGGAGATTGGAAATCAATATCCGACGCCATTTTTTAATCCAACAAATTCCCATACAAACGGTTTTTTAAGAATCCGGGTAACGTCTAGAAGCCGGGAATCGATATCCGACGCCATTTTGTAATCGAAACGGCGGCTTCCGATTTGCGGAAAAGTGTCAAATACCCTAAAATGTGGGTATTTTCAGGATGGGGATGAGACATAGATGCCGAAAATTGATGTCACGCCGTCTTTTTTGGAATCGGGCGTCTCTAGAAGCCAGAAATCGATGGGCGACGCTATCTTGAAATTCAATTTAAGAAGAAGTATCAAATAGCCTACCAATGGCATCGAATATCGATTTTCAGCATCACGCGTGGTCCCCGTTCCGAAAATACCCAGATCTTAGGGTATTTGACACTTTTGTGAAACCCTATGGCCGCCATATTGGATTCCAAAATGGCATCGAATATCGATTTTTGGCATGTACACGTTGTCCTCATTCCGAAAATACCCATATGGTAGGGTATTGACACTTTCTGAACCCTGATGGCCGCCATATTGGATTCCAAAGTGGTATCTGATATCGATTTTTGGCATCTACGCGTTGTCCCCGTTCTGAAACTAACCATATTGTAGGGTATTTGACACCTTTTCTGAAACCCTATGCACGCCATATTGGAGTCCAACATAGCATCGGATATCGATTTTCGGCACCCACGCGTTGTCTCCTTTCCGAAAATACCCATGTCTTAGGGTATTTGACACATCTTAGGAAACTTTTTGGCCTCCATTTTGGATTCCAAAATAACGTCGAATATCGATTTTCCGCACCTTCATGTCGTCTTCGTTCTGAAAATACCCATATTGTGGGGTATTTGAGGCTTTCCCTGACACCGATGGCCGCCATCTTGGAGTCCAGAATGGCCTCGTTAATTTAATTTTCGTTCAATATAAAATAATATATTATTACTATACCTAATATGGATGCTTTCCCTATCGGCAACCTATATTGTGCGGATACTATCCGGATACTATACTTTGATGCCTGCGTCGTCAGGTCGTGACAAGTTGAATGAGCCCCGAATTGAAGTGAAAGTGGAAAAAACGTAGG